ACAAATGTGGAATTAGTTCCATATGAAGAGCGCGTGGAAGTACATTGGGGTTATGAATCGGTCCTGGTTCCACAAATTACATGTGCCAAACAGGCTTTGAGAAGTCATGCTACGTGGAAGTACCTGGTGAATTTGGTTGGACAGGATTTTCCACTGCGAACGAACATGGAGTTGGTTGCTGCACTGAAGGCACTCAATGGATCCAACCTAGTTGAATCTGTTGAACTGGGCAAATTTGCGTTTCGGACAAATAACAGGCCACTGCCATTGAAGGTGAGTAGCTAGTTAATGCTTTTGGCGTCTTGTTTTCTGCCTGTGAAATTACACTGCTTGACATTCTACAAAGAAGCATTGAGTAAAGTAAAGATAAGTTTCTGTTCTTAACTAACAATTCAAGGCACTTGGCATCATTTTAAACGTCCCATAGTTGTTCAGGGTTGCAGTCGTATTAAACTTGTGGGATGTGATATTTGCATTGTCAGCCACACAGCTTAGCAAACTTTTCATGTTGTAGGCTACATGGTACAAAGGCTCAATCTACGGCGCATTTCGAAGGGAATTTCTGCACGAAGCAGTCATGGGAACAGCTGTCGGTCCCATTCGTGATTTAATGCTTAAGCCTAATTATATCAGGCATCCCGACGAGTTCTTTTTCCCAACTCTCGCTTACAACAGCCATCTTCACCTGCCTGGAGCTTGTCTGCATAGCCCAGCACCCAGGTCAGAGGTGGACTACAACTACCTGGGAAAGTTGGTCATTTGGGATTACTACAATATGACCTGTTCTACCAAGTACGTTCGAGATGTCTGCATTCTCGGAATGGATCAGGTGTCGTTGTTGCAGGAAGCGCCACACATTTCTGCCAACAAGTTCCATGCTGACTACCAACCAGAGGCTTACGATGAGATGGAGCGATGGTACTTCCGACGAGTCGAAGCTGAAATGAAATCAGGCTCCTATGACAGGAGGACGTTTGATCCAAAAGTTTACGCTAATCGTTTGTGTTCACGACATCACATCTAGTTACTTGTTTTTCTGTGCTTGTATATGTGGAAGCTGACGTATTTTGATGTTGGTCTTGAATGTGCTTGTTAATCAGCAATATTTGTGCAGGCGTTTGGGCTGTTTAAGGAAATTGTGCTAAGCTGTGGACACCATTTCAGACACTTGATTTTGAAAGCACAAACTGTAGTACGTTGTAAAAATGCCGGGGCGCACTATTTCATAGTGCAGGAGTTTTTCTCACTAATCAGTATACAGTGATGGCGGTGTAGCTTTATAGACACCTTGACGAGTAAACTGCTAACAGTGGAATATCATTGAGGTGTGCTCAAATTGCAGGTTAGTCTCCTAGTGGTTAGAGAAACGCAATCAACTTGAAGATGCAGAACAGAAACAAAGCGCACTTAGTGGTGGCAATTGAGGTTGAATTATCATAAGAATGCTTTGAAGAATAAATGCAGAGATGTTAAGGGATATTCTGCTCTACACGCTCGGATTAATACAGTCAATACAAATAGCTCTGCTCAAAGACACGCGTAGGTAACTGTCACGTTTATTGCCAAGAAGCTGGAAAGGTTAGTTGAAATGCGCAAGCAAACAAAGGCCATGAGATGTCTACTTTAGTCCACTAGGCGAATTAACCTAATCCCGCCACCGATTTTGATACTGGATTGGCCACTTATAGTACAATGATGCTTATGTGGATATGTTGACAAATGTGAGGTATTAATTTACGATGTGGTAATGAGGACGCCTTACGGAATGGTATCGGTAACCTGCTTATGAACTCAATGACGAGGAAAAGGTCTCTGATTTTTGCATAGACGACATCATTGAATCCCTTAAAATAGCTTTACAGCCGTCGTTGCCATCATTAGGGTAATTTAAAAATTTAGCAAGAGAAGAGGTACACGGACATTGCTTGACGGAATAGTTACAGGATATTTCAACTGTCCCATTTTCTTTTCGTGGCTGTACCACTACCAACTGACCATTCCCACGTTTGCACTCTTTCAAATCCACCCAGACTGCACCAGTCAGCCACTGACTTTAATACGCACGCATTAGACATGCACGACGTGGTTGAGATATCTAGTAATTGATGAAGTATCACCGTCGGTGGACTGCGCCGTCTGTGCGTGTACAAGAGTAGCTTAAACGTGCAACATTCATCGCTGTCCTCCTACCTTGGTTTGAGGCTATATCCTGGGGCCATTAACATATATGCATATATGTATCTGCCGACTTACTAGCCCATCCATTTTTGTCTGTTTTCTATTTCTATCAACATTGCCTGATGTTCTCGACGAGCATTCTAATGATATCCCAAACACAGTTTTCTGTTTTCACCAACATATCCAAGTGTTCTCTAAAACATCAGACAAAATGTTGGTTTTGTGCCGCACTGGTAATTGCCATTTGGGGTGTTTTTCTGTGTGGGCGTGTGACTACGACAAAGCAGACACTCCAAGTGGCGCATTCAAAGTCAAGTCAAAGAAATGAAAATTGTTCCGCGTGGTTGTGCAAATCACAAGTCGTGCGCAAGGTATCTTCTATGATTTGCAGTATTCCATCCAGACTGTACCAATCAGTTACTAAATTTGATACACACGTAGCTGATATATACAACTTGGTTGAGCTATCTTCTCAATGATAGTGCTTCGTAGTCTCTGTTCTTTAGCGTCTGTGCGGGTATCAGATTAGCGGAATCGATCTGGCTTTAATGTGTTGGTAGGGTTACCTTTTGCAATGCAAGCAGTTGTTTAAGCCGCAAACCTATGGTCAGGCAAGAGGGCTTGAATGGTAACTCAAGGAAACGAGATCACCCCTCTTTCTCTTTTGTTCTGCCAAGTGGCAGTGTGGACTGAACTCAACCAGTGAACGCATAATGCCTTTCTTTGTCTTGCTTCTCGGTTTGTTTGTTAACAGGCAAAAAGATATTGTTATTGATACCCTGAGCTATTGAAGGCACGGAAGGACACCATGGACTAAAAAAAAAATCTCGAAAATCAAAAAAAGGATTCCATAATAGGCGTCTAAGACAGCATTACGAGATGCCGAACAGAAGGCATTGAACTGTCAATCGCTCAAACATTTCGAGAATCGCTCACAGAGGGAGAACCTGATTCTCTGAATTGACCGCTTATGTGCTTGTAGCACGATGATCTAGTGCCTACTTGCAACAGTTGGCTCGTTGTCTTAGAAATAATTTACCAATCACAGTTTACGGGTTTACATGTGTGATTCCTTGTAGGCAGCTGAATCAACTCAAATCATTACGCTGAATGATTGCGCCAACTGACACTAACGACATGGCTAGTAGTGAGAATCATCGATTTTTTGCCCACGACGAAAGGATGGCATCAATCGAAATGTGAACAGGCATTCCCCACAGACTGCATCCAATTGTAAATATATGGGATGTCTCTTGAGTATATCAAATAAAACAAAGAAGCATTCAGTAGACAAATAGCACGTTTGGTGGTATGCATAAAATGATTCTGTGGACCTATTGACAAATGCAATGATGTAGTTAGTCAATTGCAAGGCCCCAAAATCAATCAGCACTGCATCCTTGTTCACCACACTAAATTCTACCCAATCATTAACAAATACACAGGAGGGTTAACTTGACAACTCCTAACTTGGGCGAGATCAATTCCTGCAGAACAGTACTGATGTCTGGACACTTGCGTCCTCCCGCTTAGAATTACTAAAAATTTGGACTAT